GCCCATCTGATCATCTGTGTCCCCAGCACGCAGGCCCGCTGCCCGCGCCTGGCCTCAAATTAAGTCCAACCACCTGTCACTGATCAGCTGAGAGATGGATTCTAGAACCTGAAGAAAGCAGGTTCCCTTCTAGAAATTATACCACTTTAAACTCGCTGTCATCACAAAGAAGTATTTACAGCCATTTTCAGGGATTTGCTTAAAATGAGAAAAGATGAGAGCAGTGCTTTCCCAGCGCCCCCAGCTCTGACTGGAGCTAGTTGGGACTGCACACACACTCGCTCGCACATATGTCCGCACGTGCACACCCACGTGCACACTCGTGGCTTGCCCTACCTGCACACCCGGGACGGCTGCTTATTACTGGGGACACGTCTGGATCTTCCCAGGAGCCCGGAAGCTACTCTGATGCTTAGAATTCGAGAGCTGTTCCGGTTTCCAGACACGGCACCTTCTCATTCCCGGGGCTCCTCATGGATGCTGCTCATGCTTCCCACATGTCTAGAGAGCCCCTGCGTGGAAGGACTGCACCGGAAACCTCACCGAATGGGGGCTTCGGGCACAAATCCCTCAGCGGGCATGCCCGGGAGGGGCGTGTGTCCCAAACACTGCTCCTAGCGTCTCAGAGGCCAGGGTCCCGTGGCCAAGCTGTGTCTGTGCTCGCCTGGGGGGCGCAAGGAAAAAGGACAGCGTTGCCTCTCAAGCTGGGGATCTTGCGTGTGGCGACCGAAGCCACGGGAATTAGTTGCCCCTGGGCTGAAAGAGAAAGTGGGCGTCCGTGATGAAAGGCCAAGAACCCCGAGTGGCGTTATCATTGCCAACCAGGCCAAGTGCAAACTCTTGGGGTGACAAAATAACGTGGCAAATGGAAGACAAGGTCAACAAGCGTCCACGGAAGGCCCACTGTGCACTCAGCTGTGGGGAGAGAGACCAGACACGGGCCTCGCCCGGCCCCACCATCCTGGGCAAAGGACTGTGATGTGGGGACGGGGTCTCTGCCCGCCCCCACAAGCCCCTGAGAAGCCTGCGGGCTCTGGCAGCCACAGGCTACGTCTCCAGCACCTTCCACCTGGTTGGGCTTGGGCCACACCTCCTGGGTGAAGGGCTCCATTCTCCACAGAGGGTCCTCACTTCAGACAGCAGCTGCTGGTCAGGGGTCCCCAGGGCACCCCGCTTCGGACCAGCTGGCTACAAATCCAGAGGCTCCCGCGACTCCCTCCTGTCAGTAATTCACTAGCTCACTTCCATTTTACCACAAAGGACACCAGTCAAGACCAGCCAGGAGGGGAGATGCAGGGGGCGGGGTGGGGGGGTCCTGGCTGTGGAGACCCACACCGCCTCCCCCTGCAGTCAGGCAGATCGACGCGTCACCACCACCACCCGGGCATGCGGCTCCAGAGTCCCTACTGGTTTCACCACAGGGGTGCGGCGGACAGAGCTGTGACTCAGTCCATACGCAGTTGATCGGTGATCAGTGCAGATCGGACGCCCGGCAGCGGACTGAAGGCAGTCTCCAGCCGCTGGAGGTCACAAAGCTCAGACCCTCTGATCCCGGTTGGTCCTTCTGGCTCAGCAGCCCCGTCCTGAGCTGTCTTGGCAGCTCACACGACCCGGGGTCCGCTGTGAGCCTCCTCTCTGGCATAAACAGCTGCTCCTGCCGCTTGGGAAATTTCCAGGACTCAGAGGCTACTTCCCAAGAATCAGAGACAAAGACCAGACACGCCATTTACCCCACCGTGTCGCACGACCCTGCGCCCCTGCCACGCCGACCGTGCCAGAGCAGGGCGGGACAGGGCTGTTGGGGGGGTCACCACACCCAGCAGGCCAGAGACGCAGAGGCCAAGCTCCAGAAAGGGATGAAGAAGCAGGAAGTGGGGCTGCAGGCAAGGCCTTGCTGAGGGCAGAGCGGACGTCAGCTCACGGGCCACCGATGGGCCGAGAACAACACGGGTCTGACACAGACGCGCCACCGCGGGCTGCCGGCTGTCTTGGGAAATGATGGTGGAAGGAGAGGTCAAGGCCACAGGGATGAGGAGAGTGAGGGACTGACTTTATCCTGCTGACACCGCGGAGCCGGTGAGGAGGGAAGTAAGGGACACCATCTGACGGGTCGCTCTGAAGGCCCATCGGCTGCTGGTGGAGGGGGGCCTGGAGCGGGGCGTCCCAAGCAGAGACCACATGTGGGAGGGAGTAAGGAGGTGGGGGCCAGTGACCTCCACGACTGGAGAGGGGCCCCCAGAGCTGGCCTGGGCTGCCGGGCCATTTGTGGGGGACACAGGAGGCGGAGCCAGTCCGTGAATACATGGGGTGGACGGGGCTGAGGGGCGCACGGGGTGCAGCCTTGGGCGAGGGCTGAGCCCGTCCAGGATGGAGGGTCCCCGGTGCAGAGGGATGATGGCCTGGAGCAGATGCGGGGCCAGAAGAAGGAGCAGCTGCCCAGGCCAGCGGATCCCAAGGAAGAGGGAGCTTCCACCACCAAAGCTGCCCAGCCAAGACCCACTCAGCGTCCTGGGGGGCCACGGTCAGGCACTGTCGGGGCTGGGAAGAGGCAAGCAGAACGTCCACAGCCCACAACTGTGCAAGACAGTCAGGAGCACAGAACTCAGTGCCGGCACGGCAAAGCCTCAGAGAGGAAAAGGGACAGATGTGGGGAGCACATGCCCTGCCACAAGGGCCCAGCAAGGCCACCCCGGGACCCAGTGTTCAGGAATGCCAACCTTCTGGGCAAGGCCAGGACACAGCAGGTCTCCATCAGACACCAGCGCCCTGCCCTCCTCAGACCACAGGCCCTACTTCCCTCCCTACTCCGCTTTGCCGATTTGCCAATGGCGGGCTGGGGGGCTCGTGGCCTGTCCACGCCCCCAGACCCATGGCTGCTGACAGATGCTGTGCTGGCCGGGCGAGGGGACACACCACCTCGGCTCTGGTCAGCAGGCCCAGAGGGTCGAGGGTGCAGAGACAAGGCAGGCCGGGGTCAGAGGGACGGATTCCCCCTGAAGAGTGTGGACTCCGTTCAGCCAGCGACGGGGTGTGAGGGGCACCGACCAGCTGTAAGCCCCATCCAGCCACCATCTGCAAACGAGGGAGAGGCACGTCCCCGGACAGAGCCCAGCGCGGGCGAGTCACAGGCAGGGACGTGGAGGGGGCCTGGGAGCCCAGCGCCCATGACTAGCCCAGTCCCTTCTCATCCCGTTCGTATAAAGTGCTGACTTGTTCACTCCTTCACGGCATAAACACTTATTGTGCACCTACTGTTTGCACAGTTCATCCATTCGCATGGTGTTGGGCCACCAGTGAAGGGTTTTCACTCCCCTCAAAACCAAAATGGCAACCTCACTTAGTGTAATCTTTCCAAATCTCCCGATTTCTAAATGTCCCCTAAGCTAACATCCCAGCATCACGCAGATGGACAGACTTGTAAGGCTTACGGCGAGGGCGGCAGCGGGCAGACTGGACTTGTGGAAGAGGAGAGAGGGAGGACAGCCCGGGCCCTGGGATCCTTGTCCCCTCACAGCGGGGCAGTCCCAAGCCAGCCTCTCTGCCGCCCTGCAGGGCAGGCCCGGGCTGCCCTGGGAAGGGCAACGTGGCTGGGAAGGGGTGCCCAGAGGGCTGTGTCGGTTGAGCATCCGACTCTTGGTTTTGGCTCAGGGCGTGATCTCGGGGTCATGAGATCGAGACCCACATCAGGTTCCATGCTCAACGCAGAGACTGCTTCAGATTCTGTCTCCGTCTGCCCCTCCCCCATGTCCCCACTCTCTCTCTCAAATAAGTAAATAAATCTTTTAAAAAAATATCACTGGCTGGGAAGCACTGAGACAGTAACTTCAATAAAATCTTGGCATGGCAGTGGCACACAGTAAGTGCTCAATAAATGTGACCCGTTTCCACGGGCCAGATGGGGGGTGTCTCCAGGTGTGCTGTTCCATTTACAGAAGAGGAAGCTGAGGCCCGTCGGGGCGGGGTTCCCAGCTGCGCGGTGGCACCCCCAGCCGGGTGGGCACAGTGCCTCCACCCCCCACCCCAAGCGCCCACGACGCCAGCGGGGAGGCCCCCCGCGCGGCCCTGAGGGACCCCTGGGACAGCCTGGCCTCCCGTTTATTAAGCAGTCAACGCGGCACCTGCATCAATGACATCAGTCAATGTGAGTAAATACTGCTCCGCCGCTCTCCCGTGACACAGGCCGGCGTATCGAAAACGGGCTTCAAAATGATATAATGTGGAAGGAAATGAAAACTATCAATAAAATGCAAATTCTGCGAGGCACCCGTTTAATTCATGACCCCATTCCTCCCCGCACCGGGCGCTGCACAGCATCGCTCACTGTCTCCGTGACGGAGAAGCCCAGTTTATGAATAAAGAAAAGGCTCCTGGAGCCATGGCCCGGAACGCATTCCCGACGATCCGTCATCAGCTCTGGGAGAAGGACAATTAAAATGCATAATAAAGGCAGCAGCAGTCCAACCCGGAGTGACTTGGGCGTTTGTTGCTTTGGGGTTTTGTCTGTAGGCTGCTTCTCTTTTTTTGCAAAAATGAAAGGAGACCTGAAGACCCATTTTGGCTGCGACCGGCAGGGAGGCCTGGCTGGGGTGTAAACTGTGGGGGGGGGAAGAGCCAGGACTGGGGCGGCCACCTGTCCCCCTCTGCTCTTCTCTGCCCCTGTCCGCCTCGGCCTCTCTGCTCCTCGGGACCCTTCCTGTCTGCCCTGCTCTCCACCCTTGTCACCTCCCTCCGGGCTCACAGCCCCGGCCCCAGATGGAGCTCCGGACGGTGACCACTTCTTGAAACGCTGAAATCAACTTTCTCTGCAAAACACTATCTTAAAGGGTTACAATTCTACAAAGCTTCTCTTTGGCCAAGTGCACGCCCCCTCATCTGTCCCTCATCAGGGACAGATCATTCAATATGAGTTTGTGTAACACTCCAATTTCTAGCTGCGGTTCTGGGTGTCCAGCTCTGGGGGGAGTGACACCCAGAAAGGAAACCAGGGGGGTCCCCCTTGGTGGGGAGTGAGGTCTGCTCATGCCCAAAGTGGACCCCTTGGCAGGTGTCACAGGGTGCCCCACGTCGCTTCCCTGTGGAGCAGAGGGAAGGGTTCCAGGTCATGAGCTGTCCCCGAGGCGGGCCAGCTACACAGAAGCGTGCACCGGAGCTAGGGACGAGGGGACAGAGCCGGACGCCCGGCTGAGGCTGGGAGGAGGGAGCAGGGGACTGACCCTCAGGGAATGCCAGGGGCTCTCGCCAGACGCTCCGATAGAAAAGCTGGTGGTGGCTTCAGGATGTTGATTTCTGCTCGAATGATTTCTCTCTGCTTAGCCGCAGGTTCACGAAGGTCGGAGCGTCTGGATTTCCCTTGCTCTACCTCTTTGCCCGTGAAGTCTACCTCAGCCACGCTGAGAGCTGCCCCATCCAGCTTTGCTCCGGCCGCCTCTGCCTGACTCCGGAGGAACTCCGGCTGGGCTGGCCTCTTTTAAGGGTCACCGGAGGCCATCAGGTGTTCTCTAAAGACAGTTAAATGTCTCAAGAAGCTCGCACGGCAATGAGAACTCCGGTCTAAAACAAGAGAACTCTCCAGAACCCGAGGACGGCTGTCATCCCGGCAAAGAACCCCGCAGCCTGAGGAGGGGCTCAAGTGTGCCACCCGGCTGACCTCAGAGCATCCCTGGGAGAACCTGCCCGCAGCCCAAGGCAGCCCACGGACCCTGAACGGTCCTGAAGGCCCCATGACAAACCATGGGCCGCCGACAGCCTCGCCAGGGGAGGAGCCCCGTCCCTTCCCCCAGGACCCCTAGCCAGCAGGCGGAGATGAGGCACAGAAGAGGAAGGACACCAGCTTATTTCCCAGGGCCCCCATCTCTTGATTCAACTCTCCTTCCGCACCCCTGGGAACCTCAGCCCGCTCTGCTGGGGCCCCGTCCCAGTCAGGTGTCAGCGGGTCCTCCCGCCTGATGTTGAAAAGCTCCACAGCGTGAACTCAGACACCATTGTTCTTGCTCCGATCGGGGGCACCCCCAGCTGCCACTGGCACCCCCACACCGCGGCAGGAAGGGTCACCCTAAACCACAAGCCCCACGGTGCCAGCCCTCTGTCTCACGCTCCCCAGAGCCCGGGGACCAAGTGCAGACTCCCGAGCACGCCTGCCGGGCACTGAGAATGTGGCCGTGTGGAGGACAAAAAGGACCAAAGGACAGACAGTGGGAAACTGTCTATCCGCGACACGTTCAGCTGTGAAGACTGGGACCGGCTGAGGGAAAAGCACGGAGACAACAGACCCACCAACACCAGTAAGGACAGAGCCGGCCCAGCCAGCCTGACAACATGAACGTCACACACGATTGTCATAGTGGGTGCACAGCCGGACGTAAAGGAGGGCCCCTCAAAACAACACAAAGGTCAACACACCCGAAGACAGGACAGCCCTACGTGTACGTGCCCCCCAAAACAGTGTCGAGACACACGGAACAAAAGTGGACAGAATCAAAGGTAGAAACAGACCAATCCCAAGCACGGGCCTTCTAGCCCCCCCAGTCAACAGCTGAGAGGCGCAGACGCAGAAGTGACCGGAGGAGGCAGAAGTCTAGACAGCACCACGCATCAACCGAACCCCGCGGAACCACACGGAACATTCCACCCAACACCGCGGGATACACATGCCTCTCGAGTGTTCGAGGGACATCCGCCGAGCCCGCTCACATGCAAGGTCACCGCCTCTCAGACTTCCAGGTCTTGGAACCCATCGATAGTCTTAAAAACTACTGGCGTCCTCAAGGAGTTGTTTTTTGTTTTTTTAAGATTTATTTGTTTTAGAGAGAAACCGAGCACGTGTGAGCTGGGGGAGGGGCAGAGGGAGAAGGAGAGAGAATCCCCAGCAGACTCCGGGCTCAGTGCGCAGCTTGAGGCGGGGTTTGATCTCACGACCCTGAGATCATGGCCTGAGCCGAAACCACGGGTCGGAGGCTCGACTGACAGAGCCACCCAGGCACCCAGGTCCTCAAAGAGTCTTAAAATTTTTTAGAAGTGGGTTATTTCTATAGAAATTGCTCATACTAGAAACCTAAAAGAGAAAATTTTAAAGTATTTACTCATTTATTTAAAAATAACCCATCGCCGAGGGCGCCTGGGGGGCTCGTCGGTTGAGCCTCTGACTTGTGGTTCCAACTCAGGTTCTGATCTCAGGGCCAGGATTTGGGTCCCACGTCAGGCTCCATGCCCAGAGCAGAGTCTACTTGTCCCCCTCCCTCCGTTCCTGCCCCGCTCACATGCATGCTCCCTCTCTCTCCCTCTCTTAAATAAAATTTTAAAATCTTTAAAAATAACCCATTGCACAGTACCATAAAAAATTTTTTATTCTTATGAAAAATAACTATTTCCTGCCTTCCTTTTGTGGGCACCTGATCTGTACTCCTACATGGGGTCCAGCAACCATACCTGCTCCCCAAACCTTAAAAGATTCTCTAAAATCAACACCTGGGGCTAGAAACGGCTGGCCACCTGTCTAGTCCCCACCCTCTCCTTGGTCGTCTGCATGGACTATGCACCAAAACACTTAGCGTCTGTGTCTGGGGGCCTCCAACTATTGGGAACCGTCCTCTGCTTCATCATCACCTTGACATGATTCCAGCTCCTCGGGGACAGGGACTAATGTTTACGGAGCTCGGTGCAGGGGCCGAAGAGGTGAGATGTCAGGGTCACTGCCTATGATGGCTAACACCACAGGCCACCTCGGCTGGGCTCAGGGAGCCCCAGAGGGTCGGTCGTACAACACCAGTTCTCGTTGTGCCTGCGAAGGGTGTTTCCGGAGTGGAGCGGCATTTGAACCGAGGGAAGAAGATCACCCTCCCCGAGGCGGGAGGGCGGCTCCAATCTGTTAAGGGCCTGGACAGAACAAAAGGGCAAAGGGGGAATTTGCTCTCTGCTTGAGTGGGATATCCACTCTCTCCAGCCCTCAGACACCGGTGGACACCAGCACCTATGGTCCTCCAGCACCTCGGCGAGGACGTACACCACCGGCCTCTCCGGGCTCCCCGGCTTGCCGATGGCAGATCCTGGGACTTCCCAGCCTCCACCGTCACAGGAGAGCCAATCCCGACAAGAAACCTCTTCTCGCATGGACTTCGATACATCCTCTTGGTCCTGTCCCTCTGGAGGACCCCGATGTCAGCTGCTTTTTCCAAACACAGGTATTCCTGTGGCTTTCATTCTGGGGCCGCAGCCAGCCGGAGGGAAGCAGCCTGGCGAGCCCACCCCGTGCCACCAGGCCCACAGAGATGCTGGCGTTGTCAGTGTTCCTGGGACCACCCTGCTGTGACCCACCTGCCACCTGCAGGATGCCATGCCTGGCCACGTCGTAGAAGGGGTGATTCATGCTCAGCACAGGGTCCTGGGCAGCCGCGGGCACTGACGATGGCCTCCTCACTATGCTCAGAGCGGCTGCTTCCTCTTTATCTCTCTGCAGCTCTATGGTAGACAACAAGGATAAGAGGGGCTCAGCTGTCTTCTTGAGGAAGGGGGCAATGAGGCGGGTTCCTGAGGTCTCTTTATAGGTCACCATGCCTCAGTGTGCACCCACTATGCACCCATTTCTATTGTGCTCTCACTATGTGCCCGCCTCTCCTGTGCACCCACTATGTGCCCACCTCTCCTGTGCACCCACTATGTGCCCGCTCAGCGTGCAGAACCATGGAGGCATAAAATGAGACCTCAGGGCTGAATACTGCCCTCCACACCGACAGGGGGGAAACTGAGGCTCAGAAACAGGGAATGAGGGCCCAAGGTCAGACTGCTCCTGGACAGTGGAGTGTGGACTTGAACTCGATTGCCCAGCTCCAAATTCCAACCAACCCAAGCCCTCCTTGAAGATGTGGACACAGGCAGCTCACAGGAAACCACATTTGGGTTGGAGGGCAAAAATGGGCCACTGTGCTATGAAGGAGGAAAAAGGACCATCTTCCGGTTTCATTTCATGGGGGTGGTGGGGAGGTTCCTTCATGCAAAACAAATCAAGGCAGAGATGTTTTCAGCTGGAAAGAGATAGGGACCTTCGAATTTTAGGCTTGAGTAGACTCTGGTCCCCAGATGCGCCAGGTGGAGGAGTGTCCCTCCAAGAGTCCTGTCCGCCTGGAGCCTCACGATGGGACCTTATTTGGAAATAGTGTCTTTAGAGATGAAATTCACTAAGACGTGGTCATACTGGACTAGGGTGGGTTTTAAATCTGACAACTGGGGTCCTGATGAGAAGAGAAGAGGCACAGACGCGGGGAAGGCGGCCACGTGAAGCATCCTGATAAGCGGGGGATGGTGCTAAGCTGAGTTCTGGAAAACAGGGCGCCCCAAAGAACCGGGAACAGGTGTTCTAACAAAGACAAGTGCACGCCACGATCATGGCAGCCAAGACGTGGCCCCGGCCGGCCACATGTCCATCCAGGGAGGAGGAGACAGACAAAATGTGGGCTACCTGTGTGCTGGGTATTATCTAGACATAAGAGGAACACAGTACTAGGGGCGCCTAGGTGGCTCAGTGGGTTAAAGCCTCTGCCTTCAGCTCAGGTCATGATCCCAGGGTCCTGGGATCGAGCCCCACATTGTGCTCTTTGCTCAGCGGGGAGCCTGCTTCCCTCTCTCTCTCTGCCTGCCTCTCTGCCTACCTGTGATCTCTGTCTGTCAAATAAAATAAATAAAATCTTTAAAAAAAGAAAAAAAAAGAGGAACACAGTACTGATAGTGTGACGACCCAGACAGACCTGGAAACCTGGAAATACCACACCACAGTAAAGAGGAGACCATATGATGTAGGATTCTGTTAACGAGAATGCCCAGGACGGGTAACCCCATGGCGTCAGAACGCAGACTGAGGATTACCGGGGCCGAGGGAGGGAGTGACTGTTAACGGGGTTTAGGGTTTCCTTTTGGGGTGATGGAAATGTTCTAACGTTGTGGGGACACCGCACAACATTTTGAAGGTAGTAAATACTTTAAGACGATTTAAACTAATTTTATGGTACGTTAATTGCACCTCAGTTAAAAAAAAGAAAAAGAGAAAACTGCCATAGCATGTGGGGCACAGCCATGGAAACGGGAGGAGGCAGAACACTGGACCACCCAAGGAAGGGAGGGGATGGAGGGAACAAGGATGTCCCCTGCGGCCATCCCTAGCCGTGCCACTGACGTAGGGCTCCCTCTCTGGCCACCGGGGGCCCAAGTGAGAAGTGCTTCAGTGCTGCTGCGTGGCTTAAGCAGCCAGGGGAGCAAACCAGAGGCACAATGATGGGTCCTCGGGCGCGGATCACACAGCAGGTGCAGAACCAGCCAAGGCATCGTGCATCTGGGTGGGACACGCTGACGCAGGACACAGAACTGGAATCTGTTTATTTCAGGGCAACAGGCCGTCAGCAGGTTCTTGGGATCTACTCCAGTTTTTGCAGACCTGGAGGAGGGAAGTGGACTCAAACAGCCCGGGCCCGAGTGCATAACAGGAAGAGCCTCGCAGGTAAACACGTACACAGACAATCCGAACCAAAACGCCAGGGGGCGATTCCGGGGAGAGGCTCTCCTCCCAGCTTGGCCCCTGTCACTGGGTGCCCTGGGGCATGTTTTCCAGTTACCTTGAGCCTCAGTTTGCTTGTCTGTAAGATGGGGATGCAGAAGCTGGCACCTTAGTGGGTAGCCTGAAGCAGTGACCGACGCTATTATCCCACCTGAGCCCCCACATACGTATATTATCTATGAAAAGCCAATGTACACCCATGATCTCCTTGCAGGACGAGGCCTGAAGGAGAGCATCCAGTACCTATTTCAGCCAGCTCCTCCAAGTCCAGCTGGGACATGCTCTGCTGCTGGTCAGGGCGGCGCAGGCACACCGTCCTGACACCACCTCTCGGGGATTCCAGCATGGGCTCCTTCCAACACCCTGAGGGAGAAGCACAGAGAACCCACGAACATGGAACACACAGGACCCGCAAGGGCTCAAGGAATAAAGGCAATGCCCTTCATGTGCCCGGCTTGCTTCTTCCTCCTTAACATAAAAAAAACACCCACTTCTGATCCCCCAAGACCCCAAATCAAGACAACATTTCCACCTCTGTTCACCTGCCCAGCCCACCCTCCACGTGGGGGAGGTCCGGGGAGCCGGAGCCCCAAAGGTGCAGGCCCGTGTATGGGACTGCCTCTTGTTCGGACCCTGGTGCCCCCGGCTGGAGCTCCGTCTCACCAAGCCGCCCCATGTTGCAGGAGGGCAGGGCAGGGGGCAGGGGGGCGGCGCACACCTCGAGTGGGAATGGCACCCTCAGGGCCGAAGTCCTCAAGGCCACCATCACGCCTGCACAGAGACACACACTCACTCCTGCACCCATTTTATGGACGGGGAAACTGAGGCCAGCAAAGATTAACTAGAACTGCTCGCGGCTGCAGAGCTACGAGTCACCAAACGTGGGTGACGCCTGGGATAATGCATCAGTACCTGCGCAAATCTTTACAGAACTCCCTCTTAGGCCCCAGATAATGTAGTATTTGCACCCCCATGCTACCACGTGGGTGATTCTTCAAAACGTGACTCTGGGCGAAAGAAGCCAGTCACAAAAGGCATGATTCCATTCATACAAAACGTCTGGAACTGGCAAGGTCATAGACAGACAGCGGATCGGTGACTGCCAGGGGCTGGGAGAGGGAGGGAACAGGGATGGGGACAGCCAAGAAGGTGGTCAAGGAAATGTCCTCAAAGTGACGGGGATGACAGGTGCATATTCTCTGAGATGACACTAAACACGGGGGACTAGGCAGGCTTTGTGCAGGCTAACTGTTTATGTAACCTGAATCGTATCATAATAAAGGTGTTTTTAAAACACTGAAAACGCACAGTGAGAGCAGCACGTAGTCTGGCCCGCCTTTTACTAGCAAAAGGAAATGCACAATGTTGCAAGAATGCCGTTTTCCAAGAGATCCCGGGTAAGGGTTGGTAAATCCATGTAATTTCCCACGCTTAGCCTTTTTTCATTTTCGCAAAAGCCTGTGTGGCTCTTAGTACAAGACACAGTGACCTGAACTAAAACAACGTGTGGCTGACAATGTAAGAAGGATGTTTCAGGACTATAAAAAGATCTAAAACCTTGCTGCCTTCCTCTTCTTCAAAACTCTGTTGGCAAAGTGCTGCTTTTCATCTCCGTTTTATAGATGAGAGAACTGAGCCACGGGTCGGGGAGGCCCCTGCTCACGGGCAGAGCCCGGGAAGGGGAGGCGTGGAGGACATCACGACGCTGACCCACGACATCCACCAGAGGTGCGCGGGAGCAGGGAGTCAGGGAAGGCCCAGGGCGGGGACGGCACGCCCCCTGTCCAGGGGTCACGGAGAAACCGCTCATCGTGGCCATACCCACTCCCTTTGCGGGAGAAGCCAGAGTCTGTGCTATCCATGATGGCTGCCAATGTTTAAACATTAGAATCTAACTTGAAAAGAGAAATACACAGGGGTGGGCACCCAGGACCCCGCAAATCCAGCCTGGACCCATGTACAGAACGCGTACATCTGTGCGTGGAGAGACAGGGAATGGGGCGAGGACGTTCCGAGCGGCACTCCTGAAAACACCCCACACGGGAAATGACCCAAGGAGCCACAGCCAGTGGAAGGGGGCTGTCCATGACAGTCCCACGGGGGTGCACTCTGCAGCCGTGTGAACAGGCCATCCTCAGTTGGTGTCCTGGCACAGCGGGGAGGGGGCCCCACAATCACGCCCAGCAACCGGCCTGATGCAGAGGGTGATACAGCGCACAGTTCCACGCTTTACAAGTTCGAAGTAGGCGAAGTGACCCTATGGCAATGGGGGTCAGGAAGGTGTCTGCCTCGACAGGGAGGGCGCAGGGGCTGGCGACATGCTGTTTCTGGGTGCTGTTGTGTGTCCGGGGGGTCAGATGCATCAGGCACTCAGGGAGGGCTGCCCCGCAGATGGAAAGGCTGTAGGCAGCTCCCCAGAGGAAGGTCAGGGGAGAGGCGGCCGGGGCTGGCGTGGCTGACACCCAGGCCTCAGCAGGAGGGTGGGGAGGCCACAGAGGCCTCGAACATTCACTTGACAACCACGTCTTGGGCAGGGCACTGGGGCCCAGGACACAGAGGGAAACAGATGGGTGACTTTGGAAGTGCTCAGGCTGAGAGAGGGACCCGACCAGGAAAAGGTTAGCAGAAGGAACGGAGCTGACCTCACCAGCAACAGGTAGTAGCTGAGAGAGGGCAAGGTGCCTGCTGAGGTCCCACATGGGCCGGGGAGGCCGCCCCCCAAACATCAGGGACATTAGGGGCACAGCATACAGCATCCCCAGCCCGTGCGGTCTGCACAGTCTGTGCAATGGACGCCGCCGCAGACACACGCTATGGCCAGAGTCCAGGCCTACAACACGGGAAGGGACTCCTTAGCTGCACAGAGTGAACCGTTGTCCTCTTGGCCACCAGCATCCCCTCCCGCTCTGCCAGGAACCCCCCCACACATTCTCTCTCTCCCTCCCTCTCTCTCTCTCACACACACGTATACACAGAAGTACATGTGCACACCACAGGCATGACGAGGCCATGCGACGTGGCGAGAAGCTCTACTTCGGGCACAGAACACAGGATCCTTGCCTGACCGATCCTGGCACCAAACTCCCTGCGCCACAGAGATGAGGGCGGGCAGGCATGATCACACGCCCCCAGCTGTTCTAAGCACCCTGAATTCCAAGACTTCCATGAAAGCTACTGAGAAGAAATACTACTTCTTCTTCTTTTTCTCCTTCTTCTTTTAAGCAGGCTCAGCATGCAGCCCAACACAGGGCTCGATCTCACAACCCTGAGATCATGATCTGAGCTGAAATCAAGGGCCAGATGGTTAACTGACTGAGCCACTCAGGCGTCCTGAGAAGGGACACATCTTAAATATATTCCGCTGGACCCAAACCTGAGAGGATATGGGCCTGGAACTACCAAAGTTCACCATGTGGAATGGGAGAAAAAGGAAGCCAAACACAGAAGACAGAACAAGATAAAGAAACAATCCCATAAAACCCTGTGCACCTGGATCTAGCCGCACCTGAATGCAAACATCCAATAAATCCTCTTTCCTGCTTAAGCCCGTTTGGGTTATGGGCGACCTGTCACTTCTAACAAAATGAGTGCTTCCGTGTTTTTTTCCTTGAAAAGTCAGTGCAGGCTGAAACACTCAATGGAAACTGCTTCAACATTCTCTACTTTAAGAGAAGAAAATGATCACCACCCACACTGTTTTTCTTTTTGATTGTGGTACCAGTAAATGAACTTCATTTCCGAAAACTCTGAGGGGGAAATCTGGCTTTAGCAACAGCCACGTCATGCGCCAGCCGACCTCAACACTACACCCATACCCAGTCCTGGCTCTCCACCTCCACAGGACGCAGCTGGAAATCCTAATTCCACAGGGGCCCCAAGGTCACTGCTCTCCCCTTGATGCGAACTTCCCTGCCAGGCTGACAATACAATCTCTTCGCGAGCCCCATCCACTTCATGTGGCCACAAGTCAGCCCCTCGCCCTCTCTGCTCAGTGCATTTCCAAAGGCAAGATGGCTTAACAGCAACACGGAAGGACTGCGTTCGAGGGGATGAAAGCCTCCCGCTAACCCTGTGAACAACTTCTAGCTCTGCACACAGTCGTCCACATGCGCACGCATCCTACAGTCACACTCAGATCACCCGTGCACACTGCAATCCACCCTGACACTCACTCCCCCCGCCCCGCCCCTGAGCCATCGCCCCGAACATCCCAGACCCCAGAACATTTAGCCCAAGGCCCAGGGCCGCCAGCAGCAGCATGGCCCAGCATGGTCTGGGGTGGGAGCCAGTGCCCCTTGCTGCAATGAGACGGGCGATTTGGGGTGCAGGGAAGAGGAGAACCACAGGACTGTGTCCAGACAGGTGTGGCCGGCAGTCTAGTCGCACAAGCGAGCTTAGCCCCAGATGTCAGCGGCTCCCGGGGTGCCACCATGCCAGGGACCTACCTATGAAGACTTTGCTGGAAGGTCTCCTGTGGGTCTAGTGAAGCCCCCAGAAACCTTCTAGAAAAACTAGCCCTCGGGGATCAAAGAACACACGAGAGGGCACCATGGTGGGCAATGCTCAGAGAAATCCACAACGAGACATTCCGTAAGACCACCAGGCTGGCCTCTTTGCAAGTTGATGTTATTTAAAAAAAGAAAGACAGACACACAGTGGATCCCCAGTGAACGGCACCCATTTCTGAATCAAGCGTGTGTGCTCGCTGCAATGCCTTCCGTGTTCCTCTATTCTGAACAATTCTGATAAAAACCAGGTGTGGACGGAGTGAGGGAGGTGGGCATGCGGCCCTGCCCGGCTCCAGGGCCCCGAGAAAGGCCACAGTCCCCATCTGCCTGAGCACAGAACTGAGGCCGCTAAGGTGCAAACACGGGCCCAAAGCAGCCCCCGGGTGTCTCTGCGTGCTCCTGTCTCTCCCCCCTCTTTGCCCTCTCTCTCCTGGTTCACCCTGGCACAGGGAAACCTAGGTGTTCTGCACTTCCACTTCCGGGAGCCATGGCAACAGTGACCTAGCTCGGACTCCAGTTTCGGCCAGCCTCCTCCCCCCACCTCTCACTGCACCCCTGCCCCCGCCCGTGCTGCTCCGTGCCCTGCCCCCTCCTCAGACGGCTGGGTGGCCTTGCCCAGGCTTTTACCCTCTCTGGGCTGAGATGGAGCAAGAGCCTAGTCCTTGCTGCCAGGACGCAGATGCAGCCGCAACTGTTGGTGGGACACCCTGATGCTGGTGGGAGACACTGATGGCACAAGGAGGGAGCCCAGGACAGGGGGAGGGAGGGGGGAGAG